ATCAATCTCCCAAAACCTCTAGACGATCAGGCCGGAAAGAATGCAAACGGTTCCGTTGCAAGTGAACCCACGGCTCAAATCGTACGATTCGTGTCAAAGGGGGACTGTTAGGGCGGCCTAAAGAACAGCCTCAGCAAGCAATTAGCTTGCAAGCCATAGCCGCACTCCAAGCAGGCTATCGATCGACCTACACGGGCGAATGTACACAAGCCGTCAATCAATCAATAATTCAAACTTCAAGTTGCAGTCAGCCGTCGAGTCACTAGCCAATCGAACCGGTGACCAATCCAGAAGAGAAGCTGATTGGTTCTTGGACCTTGTTTACACACGTTTGTTGCCCTAAAGTTGTTGTACCTTTGTAACTCAGGGACTTCTGCTGTTGCACACTTCTTTTCGTGTTTATCCTTTGGGGACTCATACAAGGCGTTATTGAGTGCTGCTATCTCGGCCTGGGCATCCGTTAAAACATCACTAAGTTGATTTAAGTTAAAGAGAGCAAAGAGAAAAGTAAACCAAAGCCCCAACAAGGGCTCACTCACCGCTTGCTCTCATAGATGTTGAGACCCACGGCATCCAAGCTTATCCACTTTCTGGAGCCTGATTTACTTTCAACTTCGAAGATAGACGCTCCGTAGAGTTCCACGTCCTGCGCAATATCCAGGTACTCCACAATGGAGTCCAAGAAGGAGACATCATGCAGCTTCAGATGCCATCGAGAGATTCGCGTCTCCCAATCGTGGAGACTCAAGGTGTGATTATCGATTATGCTTCAAGGAAATTGGGTAGAATTTTGTGAGAAAAACTGGCCATGAGAATATCCACATAAGGTAAAATATATATAATATATTAAGTGTTCTGTACAACGTATGACATATGATGGCGACGTTGAAAAGTTACACAATATATAGTTTGTTATCCTCTCCCAAAGAACTTCGCCCGTAGCTGATGAGGGCCACAAGCCCGAACTAGCTATACTACGGTGTCTTGTCTATGCCGGAATACTATTATATATATAAATATATAGTGCTAATAGGAACGGAAATTATATTAAAATGACTGAAGATACGAGGTCAAGATAAATTATATCGTTCCCCATCTCCCAGAGAAGATGAAGAAGAAAACAGTCGCAAGCGGAGGGCCATAAGGCCGAACCGCAATTAACAGAACGACCAGGGTCGGTGCGTTAGGCCAAAGTCAATCCACGCCCAGCAGGACGGCCAGGGTGAGGGCGTAACACACACCTATAATACGAGACAAGCAGCAAGACGAAACAAATCACTGCAAGCAGGAACGACTACCTCACCACTCTGATGATGGAAACAAGCATGTTTTCGAAACCTCAGCACCAATACAGTGTGGTCCATGAAGGCGCCTTGTTTTATTCTTCATCTTCTTTGGGGGATGGGAAGGGGATTTATATTGGTAGAAGAAATCCTTTGGGAAACATGAACAAACATTATCGTAAATTTTCGACACTGGCACACCAGGTCGTCGTTGGACGTGCGGGAAATGTGTAAAGAGCAGTGCGCATTTTTAAACATACCAAAAAATCAATAATGCTTTGTCGTCCTCGGTCAATAGCAGATTTTGTTAGTTGATGCCTTTTCCAGGCTTCTTTGAGGTTGATGTACATAGAATCGAATTCAACGTGCCTATTGATGCATGAGTCGTTAGAGTTAATGGCCTGTAAAAATTCGCGGTCTGGAAAAGGCGTCAACCAACCAAGCCTACTACCGAAGTCGACCTGGTGTGCCAGTGTCGAAAATTTACAGTAAAGTTTGTTCATGTTTTCCAAAGAATTTCTTATATCAAGTTATATTTCTTGGGATGCCAATTTTCAAATTCATACATATATATCGCTAATAGGAGCGAAAGTGCGCGTCCCCGGACATAAATGAGAAAATAAGGCGATCTCAAGAACCATTTTTTAAAAATCATCCTGACGTTTCAAAAGCGTACAGGCTTCCGTCATCAGAGGTGGTAATTGT